TATCTCAACAACGTTCTTCAACGTTTATGATGGTATATGTGATCTTTCACAACAATGTTCTTCAATGTTTATGATGGTATATGTGATCTGTCTCAACAATGTTCTTCAATGTTTATGATGGTATATGTGATCAGTCTCAACAATGTTCTTCAATGTTTATGATGGTATATGTGATCTGTCTCAACAATGTTCTTCAACGTTTATGATGGTATATGTGATCAGTCTCAACAATGTTCTTCAATGTTTATGATGGTATATGTGATCTGTCTCAACAATGTTCTTCAACGTTTATGATGGAATATGTGATTCGTTTGATTAGTGTTTGTAATCATGTATGTGATCCTCTCTATGAGTACTGTCTGAATTCTTAAAGAGATGAAAACCAGTAGTAAACTATGGCTTCAAGAACAGAACACAAGTACTTAGTACATTTAAGAATCTGTAGATCAGGAAGGCATGAGAGGTGTTCAAAGTAATTTTCATCCTCTACATCTGTTTCTGCAAAGATGAAATTATGGTGTACAGGTACATTATCATCAACACATTACCAACCATTCCCAAAAGTGTATCATGGGTAATAACGATGATGCAACCTTTGGCAGAAGGAAACAATCAGGATATCTATCAGCTTCAGACTGTCATCTCACATAAACACACCCATTTAATGAATCAAGAAAAACAGTAAATTATTAATTAACTTACCATTTCTACAGTTCCCCATATCTTCTGTAATGATGCTGGTTATATCACCAGTGAATGAAGTCAGTAATAACTGGTTATAACACCAGTGAATGAAGTCAGTAATAACTGGTTATATCACCACTGAATGAAGTCAGTGGTAACTGGTTATACCACCACTGAATGAAGTCAGTGAGAACTGGTTATACCACCACTGAATGAAGTGAGTAATAATAGTTATACCACCACTGAATGAAGTCAGTGATAACTGGTTATACCACCACTGAATGAAGTCAGTGATAACTGGTTATACCACCACTGAATGAAGTGAGTAATAACTAGTTATACCAGCACTGAATGAAGTGAGTAATAACTGGTGATACCAGCACTGAATGAAGTCAGTAATAACTGGTTATATCACCAATAAATAAAGTGAGTAAGAACTGGTTATAGCACCACTGAATAAAGTGAGTAATAACTGGTTATACCACCAATAAATAAAGTGAGTAATAACTGGTTATACCACCACTGAATGAAGTCAGTAATAACTGGTTATACCACCACTGAATGAAGTCAGTAATAACTGGTTATATCACCACTGAATGAAGTCAGTAATAACTGGTTATACCACCACTGAATGAAGTGAGTAATAACTGGTTATACCACCACTGAATGAAGTCAGTAATAACTAGTTATATCACAAATAAATAAAGGGAGTAAGATCTGGTTATATCAGCAATGAATGAACCATTACTCATTCATGGGGGGAAGTTTACAACTTGTTTTGCCACCTATTCATTACTCGTTCATGGGTGAAGTTTACAAATTGTTTTGCTACCCATTCATTACTCGTTCATGGGTGAAGTTTACAAATTGTTTTGCCACCCATTCATTACTCGTTCATGGGTGAAGATTACAACTTGTTTTGCCACCCATTCATTATTCGTTCATGGGTGAAGTTTACAACTTGTTTTGCCACCCATTCATTACTCGTTCATGGGTAAAGTTTACAACTTGTTTTGCCACCCATTCATTACTCGGAAAGCTATTCCTGTGATAACTTTGGTCCTTTTTGAAGTCTTGGATAAAGAGTCACCAATCAGACAAACTTAAATACTTAGGCCTCATTGGAAGCATCATGGGTCAGCTGTCTTGCCATGTTGAATGAAACTGATTTAAAACCAAATAATTAAACCTTTATATAGTGATTTTATACACAAGTCACATGAGATAAAGCTTGGGAAACACAAAATGTCCAGTGTTTCTACTTTTTGTCTAATCCTTTTATGTGATACGACCCAATTTTTATGAAACACAGATCTCAAGTTCATCCATAAGCATCAAAACATTTACAGTAAACAACTATGTAGTAGTATAATAAATGACAACTCACCTACTTTCTGTACTGAATTCAAAGCAAGATTGCAGTGGCTCACATATTTTCTGAACAGCTTTCAAGTTGTAACATTTGGACAGTTTCCACAGCTTAAACATGGCAACTTGAGCATATATCCTAGTGTTGAAATTTTGAGCCATACACCATGGTATTACACGAGGCATCCACTGAAGAAGGTGAGTTTCTAGTAAATCGGGTTTTAGTGAGGAACTTAGTAAAACCAGGATTGACAAGAAGGAGACTACACTGCCTACTCTCCTTCTTCCAGCCTAATAATTAACAAAAACATCCCGATATAGGTTAATCCAGGTGGAGATCTATACATCCTGAAAGCTACATTGACAGAGAGTAGGTCTTCGAATGATACTTAAAACCACTATTCCAATATTAGAATCTCAGATGTTCCTTTTTTACCTATTTCTAAATTGTTAATGTGTTGTTGTTGTTTTATTCTGACAGTTTGTATACAAATATTCATCTGAATGAAAAATAAGATTAACAAATTACACGTACATCCATACATATACATATATACACGTACACACACACGTAGATCTATACATACACGTACACACACATACATCCATACGTATACATACATGCACGTACACACACGTAGATCTATACATATACATACATGCACGTACATCAATACATACACATATACCCACACATCCATTAGTACATACACACAGATATGTACACACACGTAGATCTATACATATACATATACCCACACATCCATTAGTAGACACACACAGATATGTACACACACGTAGATCTATACATATACATATACCCACACATCCATTAGTACACACACACAGATATGTACACATACATGAACATATATTAACAAATTACAATTTGAATTTCTACAATGACACTTCCTCTCTTCCTTTTTCCTCCCCAGGACATTATTTAATATATTAACAAACTGGAATTTTCAAAGAAGAATGTAGTGAATGTATTACTGTCATACGTATACATACATCCACACAAAGAAGAATGTAGTGAATGTATTACTGTCATACATATACATACATCCACACAAAGAAGAATGTAGTGAATGTATTACTGTCATACATATACATACATCCACACAAAGAAGAATGTAGCTAATGTATTCCTGTGATATGTACACAAAAAACCACATGTACACATACATCCATAACTATACATACATCCACACAAAGCTACACAATGGGCTATCTGTGCTGTGCCTACCACTGGTATCAAAGTCTGATTTTTCAGCATTTTTTTATTCAATTTGTTTTATTGTAACAATTCTTAGTAGTAGAAACATATACATTTCAGATAGAAAATATTGGTGGACAAGAAATTAATGATTTTGTAATATCATAGTTTTTGAGAGTAAGCATATGGTAGTAATTACAAAGATTTGACTAAGTATACATCTATTTAAAAATACCTTACTTCATTTAGATTTTCTTTCAAGTCATCTTGAAACTCTGGATAAACAAGAAGAATTCGTACTGCTAAAAACTCTAGAAGGTATCGAACAGATGGTTGTTGATTTTCTTCTTCCAAAAGGTCGTAAGTTGATTTCAAAAGTTTATGACAGGTTACCTAAATTAATGACAATTTATTCATTACTTAAGTTATAAAAACTCTAGAAGGTATCGAACAGATGGTTGTTGATTTTCTTCTTCCAAAAGGTCGTAAGTTGATTTCAGAAGTTTATGACAGGTTACCTAAATTAATGACAATTTATTCATTACTTAAGTTATAAAAAGATGTTGAATTAAATGTTTTGATAAAAATAAAGAAAGGATACTCAGACCTTGTCTAAAGAGGGATATAGAATCAGTATGGACTGCCAGATTCTAGTCTTCGTGAGATGGTGAAGAGAATTGTTAAAATAACGTGATTTGGAAGCATTTAGTTCCTCATTTAGCCTCATGAGGGAGTCAATGATCCTACTAGCTAGCTCTTGGTATGATTCTTTCATCAGTGTTATAAGGCACACAGCATAGGTCCTGACTACTTTGTCTTCCTTAAGCTTGCTGCTAAAGTGAAATTGAAATCAGATTATTATCAGGTGAAAAAAAAACAAACTTTCAAATATTAAATGTAACCCACTCTGCATAAAAACTGTGTTTACATGCACATATATATATATATACATACATTAGTTAGATCTGATTTTGTACAGAGGGGTAAAATAAATACATACTTGAAGAAAAAACAAATAAATAAAAATGCAGCCACAAAATAAATATTCAACATAGCACAGAAATCATAAGGTGGGTCATTATATAATGTTCCCTGGTTTTTTGAGGAGGAAGTGAGATCCAAATTGCATTAGGGATACATTATCTATCCAGTTTAACATCCATTTTGCCATTCACACATGCTTAAAAAAAGGAGCAGATGTGGGTTCTCTAACCCATAACTTCCCACATCTTTACCACCTTTCGCTGTCTGTAGCCAGATGTGGGTTCTCTAACCCATAACTTCCCACATCTTTACCACCTTTCGCTGTTTGTAGACAGATGTGGGTTCTCTAATCCACAACGTCCGACATCTTTACCACCCTTCACTGTTTGTAGCCAGATGTGGGTTCTCTAATCCACAACGTCCGACATCTTTACCACCCTTCACTGTTTGTAGCCAGATGTGGGTTCTCTAATTCTCTAACCCACAACGTCCGACATCTTTACCACCTTTCGCTGTCTGTAGCCAGATGTGGGATGGTAGTTGTTCAAAAAATAATAAAAAATAGTAATAACTGCCTCAATAGATCAACAGCAAAACTGTACTTGAAGTTAGCATTCCAGCTCCCAATATGATGGTTGGAAATAAATACCAAGATGTTAAGATATTACTACACTAAGCCCCAACCTTTTGCTTTTAGTATAGCTCCCATCTTCCACCCTTCCATACCACTAATTGGATCTTCAATGGTTCTAAAGATCCACCCAGTAGCAGGTCTTATATGGGGAAGGTGATACAACTACATTAATCCACCTGTACAAAATATAAAAATGTGCAAATAAACAATTCTAATTAGTTCTTCAACAATACAATTCGGGGATTATTTTTATTGTATATATTATAATTTTATTGATGTCATAATTTATAAATTTATGTAAATACTTTTGGCATTGATTATAAAATTATTTAAAATATCTAAGTTTTTTTCCATCTGAAAATTGCTTTCTGTACTAATATATTTATAATACATATTATGTTTTGTTTTTTTTTCAATTTTGCGCAAAGCTACACAAGGGCTATCTGAACTAGCCGTCCCTAATTTAGCAGTGTAAGACTAGAGGGAAGGCAGCTAGTCATCACCACCCACCGCCAACTCTTGGGCTACTCTTTTACCAACGAATAGTGGGATTGACCGTCATGTTATAACGCCCCCACAGCTGAAAGGTCGAGCATGTTTGGTGTGATGGGGATTTGAACCCGCGACCCTCAGATTGCGAGTCGAGCGCCCTAACCACCTGGCCATGCCGGGCCAATATGTTATTACAAACTTTACAATACCTAAGAATTAGTGATTGTACACTGAGTGTTCACAGAGCACTATATAAATGAAAATGGTCTGCACACTAATTATCTTGTGCTAC